CAAGGAGTTGTGTTGCATGTTCTGAAAGAAAGGGCCTGATCTTCTTGATGTTGAATAAAGCAAATCTGCAGGACCGGGCAGTTTTAGCAATGTGGTCTGAGAAATTCAGCTTATCATCAATCACAACTCCAAGGTTTCTAGCTGTTTTTGAAGGAGTTATGGTTGATGAGCCTAACTGGATGGTGAAATCTTGATAAAGTGATGGGTTTGTTGAAACCACAAGCAGTTCTGTCTTAGCCAGGTTGAGTTGAAGGTGATGGTCTGTCATCCAACAAGAAATGTCTGTTAGACAAGCTGAGATGCGAGCAGCTATCGTCGGATCATTAGGATGGAATGAGAGGTAGAGTTGAGTGTCATCAGCATAGCAGTGATATGAAAAGCCATGTTTCTGAATGACAGAACCTAGTGATGCCATGTAGACAGAAGAGAAGTGGTCCAAGTACTGAGCCCTGAGGCACCCCAGTAGCTAGATGTTGCGACTTGGACACCTCACCTCTCTGCCATTTTCCAATAGGGTTGACAGGAGAATCTGGTGGTTCACCGTATCAAAAGCAGCAGAAAGAGCCAGCAAAATAAGTATAGAACATTTGGAAGCTGCTCTTGCAAGTCTTAGGGCTTCAACAACTGAAAGCAAGGCAGTCTCAGTCGAATGTCGAATTATGTAATGTGAACACAGTGCTAGTGCAAGACGAGCATTTGCAGTCAAAAAGTATATACATTTAAATTTCTTTTTTTAAGAAAATGACCGATTTGTTTCACTAGATAAGACCCTTATGCCTCGGCTGGGATCGTGTAGAGCTCTTTGAAGCTGCAATGAAACTGCAATTTGAACCCATTGGGAACAATAAAAGTCCACTATATGGAGAAAAATCCTGAAATGTGACCCTGGAGCACAAAAGCAGTCATAAGCAGCACAGGGGGTGAACTAACCCTTTAAGTAAAGATCATGTTCCATGAAGATATTTTGTAAATTTCCTACCGTAAATATATCAAAACTTAATTTTTGATTAGTAATATGCATTGCTAAGAACTTCATTTGGACAACTTTAAAGATGATTTTCTCAATATTTAGATTTTTTTTTTGCACCCTCAGATTCCAGATTTTCAAATAGTTGTATCTCGGCCAAATATTGTTCTATCCTAACAAATCATACATCAATGGAAAGCCTATTTATTCAGGTCAAACAATTTCAGTAAATTATCAGGAAATGTTGATTCTGGAAATAAACTGATCCATTAACGCGTACGAGTGTGATTCCTGAACAATTGTGTGACTGGCTGTAGTTCCAGGGTTTCCGTATCCCACTGCCGCATCCACCGCTGCCGCTGCAGCTGCCAGCTTCAGAGGAGCACATCACCTGCGGGGTCGAGCCCGGCCCGTCTACGGAGCGGTGCGCGCCGCGGTTCCTCAGCCAACCATACAGGCCTACCCAGGGTAACACACACTCTCACACACACACACACGCACACTCTCACACACACTCACGCACACACTCACGCGCACACGCACTCGCACACGCACTCACACACGCACACACACACTCACGTGCACACACACACACACTCACTCACACACACACACACTCACTCACACACTCACACAC